AAATGGCAAAACAGTAATTATGGCGAAATACTAGAAGTGAGTCTCAACGTGACAGGAACATCTGTGAGATGTATATTTTCATAATTAGATCCTGCTTTTCAAGTAGACATAAGTGAAGGCTGAAAGGAAATGCACCCGCTCTCTCTCTCTCAACATCGCCCCGAAAGGAACAAAAAGACTCAGAAAGGGTGGAGATAGTTTTACATAAGAGCAATTCAGAATTTAGATTTAGATTTTTTTTTATGGTTCCCTTGTTATAAATGCGCTGTACATTAGTTCTGTACAAACTCCAGGAAATTCCCTCATAATAATTGTCCCAATGCTGCCTGGAAGAGCTCTGCTGGCCAACATGTTGAGCTGTGTGCCTGGCAACCAGAGGGCCCTCCTACTTCTGCCAGCTCCTGCTGTGTGACCAGAGTCAATATTTGGATATGCTTTGCTTTCTGCTACACTTATCGCTTACTCTGGCCCACACAAACCACAAAAGTGAGGATGAACTTGGCAAAATACGTCACTCACACTGAATTCCAACAGCTAAAATTACGGAATTTTATAAACTAAAAAGATAATAGCAGACAACATTCTAGAATCTACATCGACCAAAAATGTCTATCTGGATAGGTCAATATGAAGGAAACATAGAATTGTCTAATAAACACTTATAATCCATTAGTACCTAATGTGCTCTGAACAACAGCCCAATATTCAATATCACTACAACACATGCTTAAAAAATTACTAATCATTAACATATAATATAAAACAAAAGTCAAATTTTAAAAATATAATTCATCTTGGTGCCAGTGCTACCTAGTTAAACTTCCACCTGCGGTATTGGTTTGAGTTCCGGCTGCTTCATTTCCCATCCAGTTCCCTGCTAAAGCCCTGGAAATGCAGTGGAAGATGGTTCAACTGTTTGGGTCCCTGTTCTCACATGGGAGACCTGGAAGAAGCTCCCGGCTCCTGGCTTCAGACCAGCCTACCTCAAGAAATGTCCTGGTGGGTTTTGCCACAACCATATACTCTGTAACATCTATGCATCTATTCTACAATCAGATGTTTCATTGTACATAAATACACACATACCTTGAAGTACTGCAGTTTGTGTAAGGAAAGGAGTTTGTTTTAAGATTCACGGAGGACTAAATATTTCATTGAATTATCAATAGACTGATTTGAGAGCCAGAGAGATACAGAGAATGAGAGTCTGAGCATGAGAACCCTCATCTATTTTTTTTTTAAAGATTTATTCAATTTCATTGAAAAGATATACAGAGAGGAGGAGAGACAGAGAGGAAGACCTTCCATCCAATGAATCACTCCCCAAGTGACTGCAATGACCGGTGCTGTGCCGATCCAAAGCCAAGAGCCAGAAACTTCCTCCAGGTCTCCCATGTGGGTGCAGGGTCCCAAGGCTTTGGACCATCCTCGACTGCTTTCCCAGGCCACAAGCAGGGAGCTGGATGGGAAGTGGAGCTACCAGGATTAGAACCAGCACTCCTATGGGATCCTGGCACATTCAAGGTGAGGACTTTAGCCATTAGGCCACCACACTGGGCCCCGGAACCCTCATCTATTGCTTTACTTCCCAGAACCCACAATAGCGAGGAATGGCATAGCATAAAGCCAGGACCCACATAACTCTTTGTAGGAGGCAGAAATCCAGTCAGCTGAGGCATCACTACTGACTGCCAGACACACCTTAGCATGAAGCAAAAAACAGGAACACAGCCAGAACTGGAACGCAGGCACTCCAATACAAGAGGTAGATATCTTAGCCAATGTCTTCACGGCTAGGTCCAATAGCTGTCCTAAGGACTGACTTCTTACCAGATCAAGATAGCCAAACACATAGCCGGTATATAAGATAACAAAAGAAAAAAACATTATCAAAACAACAACAACAAAAATCATTTCCCCAGGGGACCTACACTCCGAGTCATCGGGCACTGTGGAGTAGAGCTGTGGGCTCACCGAAAATGACAGCAACAACAGTCATGCAGAAGAGCAAGACACGTGGATATCCTCGAAGCACAATGTCGGGCACAATCACCCCCTGGCTTGAGCAAAACAAGTGCTCAGCAGTCAACAGCAGGGCTCCTGGAACCCAGGGCTCAGGCATTTCTCCCAGCACTCCACGGCAGCTGCCACACTTCTTTTCCCCTTTGGAGACCCCAAGATCTCACCAGCTGTTCACCCTAGCAGTCTCATGAAGGCCAAGAAGATGAGCTGAACAAGATCCGTGGCTAAATGAAGGCAAACACACCCTCAACACAGCTCATCCTGCTGACGCTTCCCCAGCACACCCTCCACTCCATACCGTACAAAAGTGTTCCTCGGTTGATCGAAGGTTACAGCTGATGGGGAGATTTAAAAACCCCCATATCCATGATGTCTGCCTATCAGTTGAAACACAAACTCTCAGGGCAATAGCCAAGTAATGTATTTTGTAAAACATCCCTCAAGATTTCAGGCTTGAGAATTGAGCAGCACAAAATATAAACTGGGTGAAGTAAACTTAAGGACACACTGGGGCAGATTTGGGCCCAACAATTAGGATGGAGGTTCAGATGCTAGCATCCATCCCGCCTGCGAGTACCTGTATTTCACATCCCACTGTAGCACCTGACTCCAGCTTCCTTAGAATGTGGACCCTAGGATGTGGTGATGCGTAGGCTCTGACTTTATCCCACCCACGTGGAAGGCTTCCCACATGGAAACCAGCAGATGCGGGAGCACTCTCGTGTTCTCTTGCGCTCTCATAAATAACTATTTCTTAAAAATAATTTGAGGAGTTAACAATGTGGAATATCAGGGTAAAGCCTCAGCCTGTGTTGCCAGCATCTTGTTTAGGTGCCTCTTCATGTACCAACTAATACACTCAAAGGCTGACTCCCTGCTAATGGCCCTGGAAGCAGTGGAGGACGGCCCAAGTGTCTGGGCCCCTCACTCACATAAGAGACCTGGCTGCTGGCTTAAGCCTGGCTCAGTGCTGGCTGTGACACCCACTGGGGAGTGAACCAGAGGACGGAAGTTCTCTCACCCTTTCTCAGTCACTCTCTCTACAACTAGCTCTTGTCTAGCTATCTTTCCCCCTATCGTTTCAACTCTGATTTTCAAATAAATAAATCTTTTTAAAATAATTTGAGGGCATATTATAGGAAACAAAATCAGTTACTACATATATGATAGAAAAATGCACTTAAAAAAATGTGTCTGATTTTGTAAATAAACAGAACTTTGAATTTCCTTCATAGCAGGCAGGTTAGAGAGCTGGTGTGAACCTACACAGCGTCTCATTGAATAGCCAGGCCTTAAGTGTCAGAAACAGCAACGCAGACTGAAGAACCTCTCATTTTGAAAACTGTATTCCTTTGCATACAGATCATTAAAGATAAACCAAAAATCAATGAAATGTCCATTTCCACTGAAACAAGAAGAAAGTTGTGTGTGATGATCCAAGCCATGGGGAAGGGCCAGACCTGGAAACACCTGTGGCCAGGTCCTGGGTCAGCAGATGCTAGCCTCAGGGAGGCCATGTGTGTGCTTCCACAGTGACAAGAAAGAACCAACCTGTAGTTCACAGGCACAGGCTGGAAGGGCCACTGCTATTGTCAATGCCTTCATCCTTATTTATAAGGGAAAAATTGCTAAGTGCAGTCACCGGTCCCTTCAGAGATGTCCCTGCCAGTCCTTCCCTGAGGACACACTGAAGTTCCACTAAGTTCACTTCAGTGAGTCCCACACTGCTCATTAATTAATAAGCCCTAACCTATAGAAAATTATTGTTGATCCTGATGGAACAAAAGTACCTCAAGATCACCGTGAAGATGACAGGTGTAAAGCCAGCTGGCCTCAAGCACAGACCCACAGATGGGAAGGTGCATAGGCACCAACAGAGCCAGCCAACCTGTGGAATATTTCTCTCAGTAAGCTCTCCTGAGCATTCCTCACATGGAAATATGCACAGTCCTCTAAAACGACAAGTCAGCCCACATGGGAATTCGGAGGATCTGAGTGAGAACCTGAAGCCAATTTAGGTGGAAGCATTCATAAAAGCGGACAGGAATAAAGAGTCCCCAAAGCATTGAGGACTGGCTGTATAGAAAATAAATATGAAAAGCAGTCACTGCTGGCCGTGACACTGCCTGAAAAGGAAGCTCAGTGAACAAACAAATCGATAAGGCTGACAAGTCCCCTCTTCCATCCACAGCCCATCTCTCTGCAGGTACACACACAGAGAAAGTGGGAACTGGAATTTCTTCCCATTATCCCTTAAGAGGCTGCACCTGCTTTTAACACATTTCTCTGTGTGATGCCATCGCATCTGCCTGACAATGCAAGGCTTCCCAAGTGGTGTTGAAAAAAAAAAAGGAAAAGAAGCATCTGCTAATAATACATTTCACTGCAGTCCCAACAGTTTCGTTTTGGGCTCCCGAGCCAAAGGCACATGGTGGCGAGAGTAAAACTACCTTTACAACTCTGCCGCAAACACCCATTGCAGAAGACAGTTCTATAAATAGATGTGTGTCTGTATGCAAACTGTAAATATAAAACCACCAGGCTGCAATTAAAACCCAAGCCCCCACGTAAACTTACCTGAGGGTTAAAGTCCTGGTGGAGTAAGTTCCACCGTCAGCGCACTCACAGTCAGCCGAGACCTCCCTTCCCCAGTTGCAGAGCAAGGCAACAACACCCCCAACTACATCTTTACTTCTCCCAGTCTCATCTTTCATCAGAAGTAATAGTTAGCAGCTTCATTCAGAAACAGACTCTGAATATGCACAGCAATAAGCCATGGTGGGGCTCTAAGCTAAATCCCATGGACGCACCAAGAAAACAGCAACATCAATACGGGCAGAAAAAAAAAAGAAAGAAAGAAAAAAAAAAGCAATTCCTTAAAAGAGGTACTAAAAGAGGTGCTCTGTTTAGCTGCCTCGGGAAAGGCAAGCCTAAACCTTGCAACATAAACCTTGTCGGTGAGGAAAGAGGGATCTTACCTGAGCTGATCATGCTGTGCATTCTCTGCTGAGCCAAGAGCTGCTCTCGTCCAGCCACCCCATCTGAGGAAAAACAAGAGTCACGCTCGTAAATTGTCTGCAGCATATTCCAACACTCTCACTTGAGCTGCATGCAAGATTCATCACAGCTCTGCGCACCGGCCCCGGGAGCTCCCCTGGCTGGTCCTCCCTCCTCTCCTGAGCGAGGCAGAGCAGCAAGAGGTTCAACTTGGACTACGATTTCTTTTCTGCTGAAATGGACACACACTTTGACAAAGATCTGGACACTTCCCTCACCCCCCCCCCCGTGCTCTCCCCACCCCCGCCTGCCTTACCAACTTGTGTGCAAAGCAGAAAGGACGGGGTGGGTGTGATAGCTTTCGGGACCTTAAGGTTATCCCGGAAACGAAAAGCAGGTGGGAAGTAGGAATGTGCTTCAGAGTGATTTCTTTGTCAGAAGAGGCACACACACACAAAAATATATATATATATGAACTCTCCCCACAAGAAAAAGAAACCGATTAAACCTGGCTTGGAGTTCCTCAAGCAGGAGTCGGCAGCCCTGCAAGGGGCTCCAGCCTTGCCCTTCTCCTAGCCGCTGGTGGCTCGCTCTCTTCCCCTGTTCTCAGTCTGGCTCAGCTCAAGTTGGCGAAAGCTAGTGATAATCCATTTGCATATGAATCAACAACAGCATGGCCCACAGGCACAGAAATAGAACAATGGTCGGCCTGAGCCAAAAATAGGTCAAGCATGGCCGAGTGATTGGAGCCTGCATTAATGCATTTAAAAATACCCCAGCAAACCCAGCTGTCCAGCCTCTATCTTTCAAACCATAATTCTCTATTGCAAGGCCTTAACAGCTATTAACTCTTTCCTGCCTCCCCCCCCCCAGGCTGGCTCTGCACACTGTATTTCCATTCCCGGCAACCCACTCCTGAAGCAAGGGAGGAAAAGGAAAAAAAAAATTAAGAATCATAATTCTAAGAGGGCAAATGCACATAGATTTCATTTCATTTTATTTTTGTAGTGTGTGTTTTTGGAAGAGGAGAGAAGTGCAGAGCTCTGTATTGGTTCTAAAATAATACTGGAAGCTTTTGCTCATGATGTGGGTTCTGCCTCACCCACGCACAGCAATCCTGGTGTTCTATTTTTGTTGCCTGTTTCTCTGGCTACACTGCAGTTGGCTGGGGCTCGAGCAGCTTTTCTGCCTTCTAGTTTCAGCACTGACAGGAGATTGAGCAGAGGTAGTTTCAGAAAACAAGCACACCCTGGGATAAAAATCTGTAGGAAGGACTGGCTTGATTTCTCACTGGCCATTTCAGCAAGCCAACTGTCCATTTCGCAAATCCTAGTGTGCCCTCTGCACCAGCTAGAAATTGCATAGCAGTCAGTGGCTCCTCTGACTCAAAAAGGGTGAGGGGGTTACACCTAAACCTCCTTCCCCACTTTCAGCCTCTCAGGCTGAATACAATTTACCTGCAAGACAAAATAATATTTAAAGAAAAAACAAAAGATCATGCCAGTCTCTTCTTGCAGGACTGTCTTTCCTACAGATGCAGAATTACTGAATACTATGCACCCCATCGACCAATGAAAAAATAAGACCCGTATCCAGCTCTCCATGTCCCGTGTCCATCTGTACCAGCTGCCTAAAATATACACTTCATGTTTCCACTCAGATGGTTTTTCTATTAGTTAAGAGGTTCCTAGCCCCGTGCACAATGGGACATTCACCAATAAACAAACTATGGTAGACAGCATTAAAGTTCCATGGGTCTTTGCTGTGCATTTATAAGTTGATGCCTGTGTGAAAAACAAGTCATGCACCCTCAGAGAGGATCTAGCATTTTTGCACTACCAAGAATGATCCCCGAAGGGTCACAGAATCTCCTTTTTCTAAGCTGGATCAGCAAGAACAATCTAATTCTTAGGGCATCGTGGCAACAGAGAAGGCAAAGGACAAGGCACTTGTTGCAAGGATTCTAGAGCTGAGGCAAAGATTCTGCTCCACTAGACAGTGTGGTTCAGGAAGAAGGGAACGCAGGACTCATGTGGAAAGGAAGAAACACGTTAAGCCATCTGATCTATTCTATTAAGAAAAATGTAAAGGAAATCCACTCATATAATCCGAACCAGCTCTTTACTTTATAAATGAGAAAAATTCAGGTTATGAAGATGACAAAAGCTCTCACTAAGGAGGCAGGCCTAAGAGATTTGTTTAATTAACATGCAGATTTGCCATTCATGTTCCCCAGTCCTGTTTTCATGTACTGTTTTAAAATCATCCAGAAAATTCTGTGAAGTATTTGGAATAAATTTTAGTATGAACTGCTATCCTTATTTTTAGCATAGTCTTAACAGAATATACAAAAATGATGACAAACAGGGTAACTAGACTAAAAGCGACATGCATATATATCTTTAAGTTCAAATAGCACATTCAAACCACAATTGACAAAAAGGGTCTCTATGCTTCCATAATAAAAAGCAGTAAAAATAAATAAATAAAAATCCAGAAAACAGTGTCAGTTATCATCTGTTTTCTGAGTTTCCAAGAAAGGGAATTCTACATAAAACAGTGAACAGAATGTATCTTGGGACCAGCATGTTGGTGCAGGAGGTTAAGTTGCTGCTTGTGGCCCCAGCATCCCGTGATGCTGGTTCTAGGGCCTGCTCTAGTCCCAGGTACTCCACTTTGGATCCAGCTCCTTTCTAACGTGCGTGGGAAAGCAGCTTAGGATGGCCTAAGTGTTCAGTCCCTGGTACCCATGTGGGAGACCAGCCCTGGCTGTTGCAGTCATTTGAGGAGAAAACCAGTACATGGAAGATTTCTCTAGACAGATCTACTCTCCTTTTTCTTTCTCTTTCTCCCTCCTGCCCTTTATTTCTCTTCCAGGTAAATAAACAGAACTTTTTTTTTAAACAGGATAGCAATATGATATAGCAGGTTAAGATGACACTTGCTATGAGACTCAGGGTCTCTACTTCCCTTCTGAGGAGTCAAGAAAAGCAGTGGAAATAGAGATGGGTTAAGTTCTTGGGCCCCTGCCCCTCAAATGAGAGATAACAATTTCCTGGCTCCCGACTTTGACAGAAGATGGAAGATGACTCTCCTTCTCTATGTAACTCTGCCTCCCAAATAAATAAATAAGCTTTAAAAAATAGACATCCATCCTCTGATTAACTCCCTAAATGGCTACAATGACCGCAGCTTAGCTGATCATAAGCCAGGAGCGAGGAGCTTCTTCTGGGTCTCCCACACAAGTGCAGGGTCCCAAGACTTTGGGCCGTCCTGGACTGCTTTCCCAGGCCACAGGCAGAGAGCTGGATGGGAATTGGGGCCACCAGGAGATGAAGCAGTGCCCATATGAGATCCTGGATCGTGTAAGACAAGGGCTTTAGTCACTAGGCTACTGTGCAGGCCCTCAATATAATAAATTCTAATGCAATTGAATAAGCATTTTCAAAATTGTTTTAATTATCATATCTTTCATTCACACACCTAAAGTGAAAAAGTAAGGGCAAAAAAGAGCAGCTAACTTAAAAGAAAATGATAGAGGAAACAACATTATGAATATCTCATTCAAATTTATGATAATCATTATTAATCCTTTTTATGCAAGTAAATATACAGACTTCAAAAAGTTAGTGGGAAAATTCATATTATAAGACACTATGCATACATTTCCAATTTTGTTTCTTCAAAACAAACATATCTTTCAACTAGTTTTTCCCACAAACGTTCTGAAGTACTCTCATAAAACAAAACAAGAAATGTATAAAAGGCCTTCTCCAGAAGCATTTTCAGACCTCCAGCCCACAATGACCACTTCTCAAATCTGTATTCAAAAAGTTCAGGGAAATGCATATTATGGGGGGAAATGTGAATTTTAAAGAGCCCTTGAGCCACAATAAACCTTTTCATCTTTTTGAAGTAGCCTCACAGTTGATAGCTGAAGCCCCATGGAAAGGAGCAAGGCGGATGGTGAAACCCAGTTTATTCTATCACAAAATGCTTCTTGTACTCAGCTGCAATCACACAGACACTCTTCCTGAAGTACTAAATGCTATGATTCCATCATGTGAAATATACAACTTGTTTCCCTGATATATTGAATGGTGCCTCAGAAGCATGCTACAAACCACTTAGTAACAAGTAAATAATGCTCTGGCCCAGCACAATAGCCTTGAGGTTAAAGTCCTTGCCTTGAACATGCCAGGATCCCATAGGGGCACTAGTTATAATCAAGTCGACTCTGCTTCCCATCCAGCTCCCGGCTTATGGCCTGGGAAAGCAGTGGAGGACAGCCCAAAGCCTTGGGACCCTGCACCTGCATGGGAGACCTAGAAGAGGCTTCTGGCTTTGGATTAGCTCAGCTCTGGCTGTCGGGGCCTGTTGGGGTGTGAACCATCAGACTGAAGACCTTCCTCTCTGGCTGTCCTCCTCTCTGTGTATCTGTCTTTCCAATGAAAATAAATAGATCTTAAAAAAATAAAAAAAACAGGTAAATAGCGCTCCCCTACTCACTCATGAGTACTCTCCTCCAACCCCACACTTCCCACTGTCACAGCAAGAAAAGCGCACAGGTTCGCAGGCAAGAGGCCAGGTTCCCTCAGATGGGCACGAAGACGGAGGGGTAATGTGTAGTGTGCAACTTCTAGCTTTCAGTAGCTCATTTATTTGAACACTGTCTCAGAGCAAGAACATCCATTCTGACCAACTCCAAGATACCCGATTTGCAAATGATTTCTCCCTATCGAAATAAATCCAAGCAGGAACAGGCATTTGGCCAGGCTATTTCAATTGCCCCATATTAGAGCCTGGACTCCATTGCTGGACTCTGACTCTGGAAACCAGCTTCTTGCTAATGCAGATCCTGGGAGGCCATTGTGACAGCTCAAGCCAGTTATGTTGGAAACCTGGATTGAGTTCCTGGCTCCAGGCTCCAGCTATTGCAAGCATTTGAGGGAGTGGGCCCTCTCAGATGAGAGCCCTCTGTGACTTTCTATACCTTTTCTGTTCCTCTTTAAACAAGAAAACCTTGCATGACTCCATCAGCAGG